TAGAGCCTACACAGACAGGATTTGTGCCCTGATAAGAAGGGCTCCAGGGAACTTGTCGGCCACGGCACCGTCTGTGAAGGAGGGGCAGCCCGGCCAGGCACTCATCTGCTGCTGCCTTGGTCGTGAACTTCCTGGCCTCCACAATGGGAGCAGTGGGCCTCTGCTGCTGGCACTGACTCAGTCCAAGACCGTTTGTTACGGCGGCGGGTAAAGGCAGAGCCACTTCCCCGCCTATGCCTCGGCCTCATCGCCAGGAAAGAGGCTGAGGAGAGGAGTACCAGGACCTCTGGGCCAAGGGGGCTCTGTGTAGAGAGAAATCCAGAAACAAGTGCAGGCACTGTTACTTCCAGTAGACCAGCTAAGCCTCTCTCCATCACCTGCCCAAAGGACATCCACTCCCAGGGTGCTAAGAGCACAAAAGACATAATGAATGTGTGATGCTCACTGCAGAGGACAACTAAGGCTCTGGGCCCCAGGTTCATGTGGGCAGCTGTGACTCGAACTTCAGGCTTCACTCCAAGTCCCCACTCTGCCCTCTCTGCTGGTCCTGCCTCCCTCTCCCCTACATATACCCATTGGTCTCATTTGGAGCCCCATGGGAGGGAATCATCTAGCAGGAAATGACCCCCCCCACACACCCACTGGCCAACATCCACACTGGCCGACATCCAGATCCCAGGGATCAGACTGTTGGCTCCCCAGGCAGGATGCAGAGAAGTGAGGGCACAGATGTTTCTCTTGCTCCTTCGGTTCGGGGGTCACTTCTAAAAGTTGGCAAGTACATTGCTTTATCGCCAGAGGTGCAATTCTGGCATCATTCTTCATCCATCTGGCAGGAGACACCATTGTCCCCTAAGTTTAGAGCACTCTGGGCAGTGGTCCCCCAAAGAGCAGCTCCCAGGCCAGCAGCACCAGCAACACCTGGGGCCTTATCGGAAAAGCAGGCTCCTTGGCCCCGTCCCAGAACTACTGAATAAGAACTCACCTGCCCCAGCCACACGGATAGATACGCACCTGCTCCTGCCACATGGGTAGATACGCACCTGCCCCAGCCACATGGATAGACACGCACCTGCTCCAGCCACATGGATAGACACGCACCTGCTCCAGCCACACGGGTAGATACGCACCTGCTCCAGCCACATGGGTAGATATGCACCTGCCCAGCCACATGGATAGACACGCACCTGCCCCAGCCACACGGATAGACACGCACCTGCCCCAGCCACACGGGTAGATACGCACCTGCTCCAGCCACATGGATAGACACGCACCTGCTCCAGCCACATGGAAAGACACGCACCTGCTCCAGCCACATGGATAGACACGCACCTGCTCCTGCCACATGGATAGATACGCACCTGCTCCTGGTCCCACAGCCAACAGCCTGCAGGACCAGCACAGCTCCCTCCCCTGAAGTTCAGTTTCAAGGCAACAGCAAGAATCCTGGCAGATGATGCCTGACATTACCAGGCACCGTTTTCTTAGGTGCTCTGTGAATTATTTCTGATGAACCTAAGCCAGGAAAGGACCTCTATGCCTGTCCATTTTAACAACACTCTGCCAGCTTCCTGAGGCCTGGAGAGTCCCAGAAGTCCTTGGGAGAGGCGGGAGAGCTAAGACATTTCACAGCTGCCAGCTGCCTCTGGGGGTAAGACCTCATTCGTGCTGAGGACCCAGAAGACATCATTTGGTGCAGAATAATGAAGTGCTATGCTGGTGTCATGGTAATTATATTTACACTTAACATTTATGAGCACTTTTTTACAAATATAAGTCATCTATCTCCATTAGCTCACTTAATCCTGGCAGCAACCCTCTGAGATGAGAACTATTAGACCAGTATTAGCAGAATTATAGACGAGGAAAGCAGAGGTTGCAGGGTTTCAGTAACAGCCACACAGCTGATGAGTGGCTGAGCCAAGGTCTAGACCAGCCAACCCGTCTGTGGTCTCTGCCCTACTAGCCTCTCCTGCCCTCTCGGGCTAATCATCACACATTTCCCCTTCTTGTAAATAGCCTCACCCTCCTGCATGAGGTCCTCCATCTTGCAACTGTTCCATGAGACTTGGAGAACGAGAGAGAGAGCTGGAGGAGAACCCTGAACTCAAAGGGTCTCTGTCCTTCAGCACCACGGACAGGGCATTAGGTACTTGTATCCTGACTCAGCATCTTACCCCCAACCTACAAGACTGTTTGAGGGCACATACACAGCTAAACTAATTTACCCTTAAACCCATTACTGTAGAAAATAGAAGGCACTCAACCACAGTTACCCAACTTGATGACCATGGATAATGCACATTAGTGTAGGCAGCCCATAAACAAGTCATAGACAACTCAAGGTCAGTCTTGGCTTGTGGAATTCCTGGGATGAAAAAAAGTCACCTATTCCCATGCTCTAGGAGAATGATCAAACAAGAACACTCCGCTAAAATTAACTATGTTATGACTGTGGTGCAGAAAGCCTGATAAGTTGCTTGCCTGTGTTGTTAATTTCTGTGTTGCCTTGAGCTGCAGCTGGTAATGTATAAAATATCGCTGAGACGCTGGAATAAATGAGCCTTCATCAGCCTTGTTGCCTTGGCTCCATTCTCTGTGCCCTTGTCCCTCTTTTCATTCCCACTCCTCCTTCAGGTTCCGTTCGACTGGTGCGGCTGGCCCGCACACATTAGTGCATCCGTGAAGAATAGGAGACAGGGCTCTGATTAGCCAGCAGAGAGCAGAGAGCAAAGAGGCCCCGAGCTGTAGGAAAATGTCATAAATACATCTTGGAAGTTTTACATGTACAAACGTGTAATTTATATTTTCTGGCTCAGAGGCTCCACAGTGAGTCTTCTCATTAAATAAGTTGATTCCTACAAGTAGCATGGTTTTTGAGGGACTTGAATTCCCACAAACACACAGCACTCTGTGGGAGAACAGAACCAGTCAACGGAGCAGTCAAAAGTGGAGAATCCATGGGGGCCAGCATTGTGGTGGTGCAGGTAAAGACACTGCCTGCGACATCAACATCCCATATTGGCATTGGTTCCTGTCCCAGCTGCTCCACTTCCCATGCAGCTCCCTGCTAATGGGCTGGGGAAGAAGCAGGGATTCTGTGTGGGACATAAACATCTGGAGCCTCATGGCCCTGACAGGCAGGAACACCTGATGTTCCCTGGAGACCTCTCCAGGTTACTGCTCTTTGAGGGAAGCACCAGGAAGAAAGTCCACACGTAGTAGAGCCCTCGGTTCACTCCCCACCCACCCCTGCAGCCCAGTTCTGTCTCCAAGAAACCTTTCATCTCACAATTTCAAATAGAGGTTCCCAGGGCACAGCAGTGAAGAACAACCCTGGCTCAGGTAAGGAGCTGTTCTCCCACAATATGGACAGTCCCGGGTGTGTCTGTGGGAACCAGAGAAGTATCACTGTGAACACAGACCTGACTGCCTCCCTTGGGGCCTCATTCAATGAGAACAGCATCAACAGCATCACCTCCAGCCTGGCTCTGCCTACCAGCTGCCCAGGGGTCAGAGTGACCTTTCTACCCAAGCACGCATCACCTCCATCCCCGGCCCCCTCCCCTTGCTCTCTGGGCCAGACATGGAGCTCACCATGCTCCAAAGTTCAGGTCTCCTGTTCTGCTGTCCCTCTCCAATCCCCTAGAGCTGTGTCTGGCTCCCAGTAGCTCTTATGGCTTTTATCAAGTAAGAACCTACATTAAACTATTCTGTCCTCTGCACATAGCTTTCTACAGTGAAATCAATCACATCAGTGTACGTGTCTGCATATGTCTATGTGCCTGGGTGTATCTGTATATGTGTGTGTGCATGTGTGTACATGTGTTCATGTGTCTCTGTGTATCCATGTGTTCATGTGTGTGTCTATGTGTCTGTGTATCTGTGTGTCCATGTATCTGCATGTGTTTGTATGTCTCTGTGTGTCTATGTGTGTATAGGTTATCTGTGTTTGTGTGTCTCTGGGTGTGTCTGTATGTGTCCATGTTTCTCTGTGTCTATGTGTATCTGTGTGTCCATGTGTCTGTGCATGTCCATGTCTGTGTGTCTATGTGAATGCACGTGTTCATGTGTATATGTTCACGTGTCTGTGCATGTCTATGGGTCTCCGTATCTGTGTGTCTGCGTGTGTTCATGTGTCTGAGTGTGTCTGTTTCTCTGTGTCTGTGTGTATCTGTGTGTCCATGTGTCTGTATGTGTTCACATGTCTGTGCCTGTTTATGTGTACATCCATGTGTCTGTGTGTATATGTGTATCTGTACATGTGTTTGTACATGTGTCTATGTCCCAGGAGGAATGAACAGGACCATGTCTATGAGGGTCACTGCATCAGAAGCATCCATAGGATTTCAACAGGCAGAGGGGATGACGGACGTGTGAGGAGGCGGGATCAGCAGGGAGGCAGACACTGACAGTGCCTAGGGAAGACTGGCCCAGAACCCGCAGAGACAAACACTGGGGAAGTGTGCTGGGCCCCATGCCAGGTAGGACGCCCATTTCTAACTCCCAGTGCCAAGGAGCACAGGGCAGCACGGCCTCAGAAGCATTTTAAGGTCAAACATGAACTCACACGCACTTGCTCGTTTAAAGGGGAAACTTGGTTAAAGCAAAGGGAGACACTTGGAGCCCAGGAATTCCAAGCACCCTGACCTGAAAGGCAGCTGTTTCGCGACCCCCAGCCCCAGGGAGCCCCAGGCCATGTTCAGCTCCAAATCATGAGAGGAGGAAGCAGACAGCTCTGTGAGGGGCTTGGTTTGAAAGAAATGTGTGCAAAACCCACTTTTCGAAGTGCTGTGGATCCAGCTGCCTCTGTTGACTGTCGGGGCCCAGATTTCTAGGAACCTTCCTTAAATTCAACACCTGGCGGCACACTGGGCCTCCTTCCCTCAGCTTTGTCGTCAGCATCCCCAGGGATGCCTCCGCCAGGAACTCAGTGCCCTGAGGTGGCCTCCCAGGGCAGCACAGACGCACAGCGGAAACTGGAATGGGCACTCCAGCTGCAGGACACCGGAGGATGCTGTGGGGCCAGGAAGGGGCCAGGAAGGGGTACCTCCCTGCTTTCCTCTCCACAGGGCTGCAGTCTCCCAGAGCAGGACCAGTAGGTGCACCACAAGGAGACAGAGCACTGGAAACCACACTCTGTACCCTAGTTTCCATCATTTCTAAACCTTGCACCACCCCTGGGGCTCCTGGTCCAGCTGATTCTGCAGACCACATCACACAAACACAGACACTGCTGCCCACTCAGAGGCTACCTTGCGGCACTCAAGATGGAAAACCAAGGGACCAGAGGGGGCACTGGGGGCCATTACCCCTCCGCTGTTCTGCCCAACTCCACTCCAAAATGCCCCCAAATCAGCTCGGATCACACCACCAGGACAGCATGGAAACTGGTGACAAAGTGACAAGAACAGCGGCATGACACAGAGCAAGGGCGATGCCAGCTGCTGTGTCCAGCCCCGGGTATTCATCCCTTTAAAGCCCCAGCAACCTTCCATGGGAGGGGCCACAATGACCCCCTTTATAGAAAAGGCAACTAAGGCACAGGAGCTCCCAAGGGCAGACACAAATTTCTGCAACAGCAGCTGGCATTGGATCTGCTCATCTCCAACAGCCTGAGAGCCTCCTGCTGAGATCCAGACTGGAATGCAGACGTCCCTAACCGATTATTCAGTTACAAGCACTTACTCGGGGCTAGTCGTCTTCCAGGCTCTGGGATGCAGGACCCGTTCTCTCCCTTTTCTGCACATGTCCAGCACCTGGACTGTGGGTGAACCTTGGGCTGCCTCTCTCATTTATCTTAGCCTCATTGTATAAATAATGGGGGAGAACCAGGGTGTAGAAGAGGATCCAGAGGGGAGGCTTTGAAAACGAGGGGCACTAAGGATGGTCTCAGGGCATGTGACAGGGATGCCGAGGAGGGCAGCTGCACACCTGGCACTTTCTTAGTCGGGTGGCCCTGGGCAACTGCTCACCTCCCCCATGCCTCTGTTTCCTTGGCAACAGAAGAAGTGATGGTTCAGCCAGCCCTGCAGCTTCCTGGAGGTCGAGCTTCCCAGTCACTTACTGCCCGTGTGACGTGGACACATCACCCTCGTCTGCAAAATGGGTCCAGCCACGCCCTGTCCCATGATGGGGAAGTGCGGAGCACAGAGCTGGGTGTGCAGGGGCTGTCGTCCAGCGGGCAGCCAGGACGGGAGCATCGTGACCCCCAGCCCTGGGAGGGGAGGGCTCCAGTCCTTAACTCCCAGCCCTCAACAAACACTTTGGAGATGACATTCAGCAAAGAAGCTAGTTTACCATGGTCGCCTTCCCCTCTGTGGGCCCTACCAGTCCCCACGACCCATGCTGCCCCCTCGTTTCCAGAAAAGACTGACACCCCTTCTCCAGTCTCCGAATTGCCGCCTGAAAGGGGCTTTGAGCGCCATCAGCTCCCACACCGTCATTTTCGTAGATGAGGTCCAGGATTCAGAGAGGGGGATGACTCTGACCACACAGCTGACTGCTGCAAATGCCACTGCGAGACTGTGTCAGCCGAGGACAGAGCCGCAAGCGCCACTGCCAGCACTGCTCATGTGACAGGGTCCCCAGCTGCAACCGGGTCCTGGCAGCCTCCAGCCTGGGACAGGAGGTACAGCAGAGCTCTGGGCGCCAGCGAGGTGCCTGCGGGTGTGCGGACAGGCCACTGAGGTCACCCGTCAACCCAGGACCAACAAGGCAGACACACCCATCAAACCAGGACCAACAAGGCAGACACACCCATCAACCCAGCACCAACAAGGCAGACACACCTGCCATCCAGGACCAACAAGGCAGACACACCCATCAACCCAGGACCAACAAGGCAGACACACCCATCAACCCAGCACCAACAAGGCAGACACACCCATCAACCCAGCACCAACAAGGCAGACACACCCATCAACCCAGCACCAACAAGGCAGACACACCTGCCATCCAGGACCAACAAGGCAGACACACCCATCAACCCAGCACCAACAAGGCAGACACACCCATCAACCCAGCACCAACAAGGCAGACACACCCATCAACCCAGCACCAACAAGGCAGACACACCTGCCATCCAGGACCAACAAGGCAGACACACCCATCAAACCCAGCACCAACAAGGCAGACACACCCATCAACCCAGCACCAACAAGGCAGACACACCCATCAAACCCAGGACCAACAAGGCAGACACACCTGCCATCCAGGACCAACAAGGCAGACACACCCATCAACCCAGCACCAACAAGGCAGACACACCCATCAACCCAGCACCAACAAGGCAGACACACCCATCACCCGCACCAACAAGGCAGACACACCCATCAACCCCAGCACCAACAAGGCAGACACACCCATCACCCAGCACCAACAAGGCAGGACACACCCATCAACCCAGCACCAACAAGGCAGACACACCCCATCAACCCAGCACACCAACAAGGCAGACACACCTGCCATCTACCCAGGCACCCAACAAGGCAGACACACCCATCAACCCAGCACCAACAAGGCGAGACACACCCTCAACCCCCAGACCAACAAGGCAGACACACCCATCAACCCGCACCAACAAGGCAGACACACCCACAACCCAGCACCAACAAGGCAGCACACCCATCAACCCAGCCACCAACAAGGCAGAACACCATCAACCCCGCACCAACAAGGCAGACACACCATCAACCCAGCACCAACCACGGCAGGACACACCATCAACCCAGCACCAACAAGGCAGACACACCCATCAAACCAGGACCAACAAGGCAGACACACCCATCAACCCAGCACCAACAAGGCAGACACACCCATCAACCCAGGACCAACAAGGCAGACACACCCATCAACCCAGGACCAACAAGGCAGACACACCCATCAAACCAGGACCAACAAGGCAGACACACCTGCCATCCAGGTGATGGAGGAGGCTTAGCCTTTGCCTGACTCCCACATACACCAAGGATAACACCTCTGCCAGAGGAGAGGCTGGGCCAGGGGGGACACAGGAGAGCACGGGGTCACATGGTTTCACTTGGCAAGCACCACTTTGTCAGGTGTTAGGACCTGAAGGAACTAGAAGCCCGAGCTTCCGACTCCAAGCAACAGCTGGGTGTCCTGTCAGTGACCTGTGCTCTGGCCAGTGGCCCCCAAAACAGAGCTTCTCCCCAACAGTCAGAAGTAAAAGTAGCTGTTGCACCCTGCTGGGGGTGGGAAATATGCAAAATAGTGCAGCTGCCAGGGAAAACAACACAGAGACATTCTCAGAAATTCTAGGGGGGCCGGAGTTGTGGCACAGTGGGTTAAGCCTCTGTTGCAGTACCTGCATCTCATGTGAGCACTGCTCCACTTCCAACACTTCCAATCCAGCTCCCTGCTAGTGGTCTGGGAAAGCAGTGGAAGATGGCAGGTCCTTGGGCTCCTGCACTCACATGGGAGACTCAGAAGAAGCTCCTGGCTCCTGGCTCCTGGCTAAGATCAGCCCACCTCCGGCTAATGTGGCCATTTGGGGAGTGAACCAGCAGATGGAAGACCTCTCTCTCTGTCTCCCCTCTCTCTGCCTATAACTTTGCCTCTCAAATAATAAATAAATCTTTTAAGAAATTGCAGAACTCCCACAGTATGCAGCAATTGCACTCCTGGCTACTTATCTAAGAGTCGAAATCAAGACCTCAGAGAGACACCTGCACTGCCAGGATCACCGCAGCAGAATTCGCAACAGCCAAAGACGCAGCCTCCCCAGGGTCCATCAGCAGATGAGTGGGTCAAGATGCTGTGTGCCATAAACACTATGGGATACCATTCAGCCCCAACAAAACACCCTCTGCCACTGCCATGTGATAGACCCGGAGGACACTGCGACAGAGAAAGAAATACTGCACAACTCCACGCCTACATAGAAGAGTTGGCCTTCAGGGAGGCAAAAGTCACATTTAGGAGAGTGACTAATGATGGTTTCCAGGGGCTGGGGGAAGGGGACAGGGAACTGGGGTTCAATGGTTGCCAAGCTTCCGTTACCCAAGGTGGACAAATTGGAGAGATGGATGGTGCAGTTCCGTGTCTCTAGCCTGCTATACTGTGCGCTGGAACCTTGGTTACGGGCAGGTCTCTCGGCAAGCATTCCCATCACAGTAAAACGAAGCATAAAAGTTCATGGAACAGAACCAGTGCTGTGGCCTAGTGGGTTAAGCCTCTATCTGTAGCACTAGTATCATTTATGGGTGCTGGTTCAGGTCCTGTCTGCTTCTCTTACAGTCCAGATCCTTGCTAATGGCCTGGGAAAGCAGTGGAAGACTGCCCAAGCAGCTGGGCCCCTGCTCCCATGTGGGAGACCTAGAAGAAGCTCCAGGCTTCAGACTGGTCCAGCTCTGGCCTTTGCAGCCATTTGGGGATCTCTTTCACTCTCTCGGTTTGTAACTCTGTCTCTCAAACAAACAAATCTTTTAAAAATTCACAGTGGAAAGCAGCTGCTGAATTTGGGCATCTGGCTTTTCAACCACACAGAAATCACGGACGGTGGTTGCCACAAAGCCCATGTTTAGGTATCAGAAGACTGGGGTTGAACAGCTGACCTCAGAGCCGGAGAAAGGCAAACACCTGACCCGGTTCTGTCAGGCTGTCCAGCTTCTCGCACGCCGTGCATCCTGCCTCCTCATGATTCTTTTCACTACTGTTCTGTGATTTTAGTGGGGGGGGGGAGTTCATCGTGAACAAATGAAGACACAAAAATAAACCTTTGCATAACGTTTTCCAGTACAGACAACCACTGTTTAACGATGGGCTGACCAGCATTATTAACTCTCTCTCCCCCTCCCCCCCTCCTAATACACACTCTTATACACACACACAGCTGGGGTCATATGGGACATCTATCTTGTAATAATGTTCTAAAGATTTGATAAAATGTTATCTGCACGTTCTAAGTCATTAATAATTTTCCTAACAGTAGTTTTGCTGACGGCTGCTGCCTCGTTCAAGAGTGTCACAATGCCTTCTACCCTCTGCCCACTGCACAGCACTGCATCTGTGTCCAGTCTCCTTACAAACCACACATGCTTAAGCCCTCATGCACAGCCTTGAGTCACCACCTCCAAGTACACCTGGAATCCAAAGTACCAACTCCAAGGGCTTCCACAGGAGAAGACACACGCGAAAGCCATTTCTACGTTAATTGCATGCAGAGGCACCCGGGGGAGAGGATCTGCTCTGTGGGGCTGGCATGATCCCCGCAGAGCAGCAGGTGCCTCCGAGACCCAGCAGCACCTGTGCTCCCACTCTGCGCCTGTGTGGGCTCTGATGGCATCACCCACGTAAATGTGCCCTAGAATTCTTGGGCTGCCTCTCCAGGGAAAAGGGAGGGCTTAAAAACTGCTGGTATGTGGGGACATGGCTCTCTACTTCCATTTCTCCAGTGCAGAAGGAATTCCACATTTCCCCTCTGTTGAGCCTGCGCCTGTTATGATGAGGGTAAAAGAAGATGCGACACTGAGAGCTGTGGAGAACATTGTTAGGCATCACATGAATTCTCCTCCATCCCCAGGTCTTTCCAGCCTGGTTGCCGCAGCCAGCTGTGTCCGCTGTCCACTCCCCTGTAAATCCTGCAGTAATCACCCAACTCTTCCCCGTAAAGCGCTCTGATGGCTCCTCTCGGCTCCATCTGGCACCTGCTATTGGAATGCACTCAGGTGTGTGACCGTGTGCAGACCCTGTGTCGGTTCCCACCACTGAGGAGGAAGCCTGATCAGGCTGTGATCATCAATGCTGGGTGCCCAAACCCTCTCCAGCTCCATTCCCCACTCTTGGGACACTAAGAGTCCTTTGCTATTCTGGACTGCCCACATCTGGGACACACATTTCCCTCCGCTTTGCCCTCTGAATCCGGCTCACGCTCTTCACTCGGCCTGGGTGGCCCTACCCCCAACACCTCCACCTTCGGGTGCAGCTCAATTGTCAGCTGCTCAACACGTTGAGTCCACAGGACACACGGGTCTCGCTTCTCACTGCTCCCAGTCTGCATTTCCTGTCTCCATCTTTCCTCTCCCTGCCGCCCAATGTGCATGTTTCAGCTGCCCAGGGCAGGTAGGACACGCGTTGAGGCTGGGCACCTGGTGCACCTGCTCCCCACTCACACTCTTGCCAGGCAGCACAAGGGGCACACACACCTCCCCCAGACCTCAGCCCCCCGTTCTGTTCCCTGGCGGGGGTGTTCTTACCTTCTCTCCCTTTTCTCCTTGGATAAAAGGTCCCCTGCCCTAGAGGAAAGTAAACAGGAGCAGAGATTACTTCCGAGCCCCTCCCTGGCACAGCCGCGCCTCGAGGTGGAAGTGACCGATGCCCCTTCCCTAGCTCCACCCAGAGCCTGGGAAAGCCATAGGCACGAGCATCCTCACCAGCACCGTCCCGCAGAACATTCCCGGAGACTCTGTTACTTTATTTTAAAAGATTTATTTATTTGAAAGGCACAGTTACAGAGAGGCAGAGGCAGAGGCAGAGAGAGAGAGAGAGAGAGAGAGAGAGGAGAGAGGTCTTCCATCCACTGGTTAACTCCCCAAATGGCCACAATGGCTGAAGCTTTGCCGATCTGAAGCCAGGAGCTTCCTCCGGGTCTCCGACGTGGGTGCAGGGGCCCAAGTCCTTGAGCCATCATGTTCTACTGCTTTCCCAGGCCATTAGCAGAGAGCTGGATCAGAAGTAGAGCAGTCAGGTCTCGAACTGGTGCCCATATGAGATGCTGGCACTGCAGGTGGCAGCTTTACCCACTACACCACAGCTCCAGCCCCTCAGTTACTTCAGATGTCTGTTTTTGTCTCCAGGAGCACTTTACTGGAATACAATTTCTATTCTAGAGAATTCACCAATTTAAAACAGACAACCCAATGACTCTTAGTATATTCACAGAGTTGGACAACATTTGCCAGGATCAAGCTGATGTCTCTCTGGGCTACAGGTTTGGGTTTGAAGTACTTTCTCTGATACTCGGACGATCACTCCAGGCTTCGTTTCTGTTTTCGGAACACATAGTTCCATTCTCTGTCAACCTCTTTGTGCCTCTGAATCTACACTGAGTCTCCTGCAGACAGGACGCACACAGATCTTACTCTGACATCCTGTCGGAAAATTCCCTACAGTTCACTTCATTCATTGAACACACTCACACGTATGACATGTAATGATATCTACATATGCTTTACTTTTTTCAACCTGTCTCACATCTCTATTTTTGGTCCATTTACTCTCAACTTTTTAAGTTTGTATTACTTTTAAATTAAGCATGAGCTGGCACCGAGG